ATGGGTCGCTCTCAGGAGCTCAGTGACTCCAAGCGTGGTCCCGTGATAGGTGGCCACCTGGGCAATAAGTCCATCCGTGACATTTCCTGGCTACTAAATATTCCACGCTCAACTGTTAGTGGGATTATAACAAAGTGGAAGCAACTGGGAACAACAGCAACTCAGCCACCAAGTGGTAGGCCACGTCACATGACAGGGCGGGGTCAGCACATGCTGAAGCGCACAGTGCGCATAAGTCGCCAACTGTCTGCAGAGTCAATAGCTGCTGTGTCATTGGACACAGCTGATCACGTGGTAAAAGGCCGCTGTGATTGGGCGGAGATCGCCAGGTTTGCGCCCCTGGGGGCATGCGGCAGGGTGCGTTCATATGATGCCCTCCCAGAACTGGGTAACCGCGCTGTATAGAGTGTATACAACACACCGTATATCTCCAGGTAAAATATATATATACATACTGCCTTTCTGAATACAAACTGCGCTCGAAATAATAAAAATATATGTGATAAAAAAATATTGAAATAAATTAAGCTGCTACTTTCCATTGTGAAAAAATGATCACAAATAAATAAATATTGTGAGATGACAAAATATATATGCAGCACTCTGTAAATAATAATAAACATGGTGGTTTTATTTGAATTATTATACTCACATGGTGATTGCAAAAGGACTTTATTGATGGACTTTTTGTTTGTGATTATTTCTATTATATTACTTACAGGGCGCTGCATATATATTTTACAAAAATAATGAAGATCTCCCGCGCTACTATTACGTGATAAATTAGGTGAGTGGGAGCTGCTAGCACCTAACCATATACAGTGGGGATCGAAAGTTTGGGCACCCCAGCTAAAAATTTGTATTAATGTGCATAAAGAAGCCAAGGAAAGATGGAAAAATCTCCAAAAGGCATCAAATTACAGATTAGACATTCTTATAATATGTCAACAAAAGTTAGATTTTATTTCCATCATTTACACTTTCAAAATAACAGAAAACAAAAAAATGGCGTCTGCAAAAGTTTGGGCACCCTGCAGAATTTATAGCATGCACTGCCCCCTTTGCCAAGCTGAGACCTGCCAGTGTCATGGATTGTCCTCAATCATCGTCTGGGAAGACCAGGTGATGTCAAACTCAAAGGTTTTAAATGCCCAGACTCATCTGACCTTGCCCCAACAATCAGCACTATGGGTTCTTCTAAGCAGCTGTCTAGAAAACTGAAACTGAAAATAGTTGACGCTCACAAAGCTGGAGAAGGCTATAAGAAGATAGCAAAGCGTTTTCAGATGTTAATATCCTCTGTTCGGAATGTAATTAAGAAATGGTAGTCATCAGGAGCAGTAGAAGTTAAAGCAAGATCTGGAAGACCAAGAAAAATATCAGACAGAACAGCTCGCAGGATTGTGAGAAAAACAATTCAAAACCCACGTTTGACTGCACGATCCCTCCAGAAAGATCTGGCAGACACTGGAGTTGTGGTCACTATTCCACTATAAAGAGATACTTGTACAAATATGGTCTTCATGGAAGAGTCATCAGAAGAAAACCTCTTCTACGTCCTCACCACAAAAAATCATCGTTTGAACTTTGCAAATGAACATATAGACAAGTCTGATGCATTTTGGAAACAAGTTCTGTGGACCGATGAGGTTAAAATTGAACTTTTTGGCCGGAATGAGCAAAGGTACGTTTGGAGAAGAAGGGGCACAGAATTTATTGAAAAGAACCTCTGTCCAACTGTTAAACATGGGGTTGGATCAATCATGCTTTGGGGTTGTGTTGCAGCCAGTGGCACAGGGAACATCTCACGAGTAGAAGGAAAAATGGATTCAATAAAATTTCAGCAAATTTTGGATGGTAACTTGATGCCATCTGTGAAAAAGCTGAAGTTAAAGAGAGGATGGCTTCTACAAATGGATAATGATCCTAAACACACCTCGAAATCCACGGGGGATTACATCAAGAGGCATAAACTGAAGGTTTTGCCATGGCCTTCACAATCTCCTGACATAATTAAAAATCTATGGATAGACCTTAAAAGAGCAGTGCGTGACAGACAGCCCAGAAATCTCAAAGAACTGGAAGAGTTTTGTAAGGAAGAATGGGCAAAGATACCTCAAACAAGAATTGAAAGACTCTTGGCTGGCTACAAAAAGCGTTTACAAGCTGTGATACTTGCCAAAGGGGGCAGTACAAGATATTAACTCTGCAGGGTGCCCAAACTTTTGCAGACGCCATTTTTTTGTTTTCTGTTATTTTGAAAGTGTAAATGATGGAAATAAAATCTAACTTTTGTTGACATATTATAAGAATGTCTAATCTGTAATTTGATGCCTTTTGGAGATTTTTCCATCTTTCCTTGGCTTCTTTATGCACATTAATACAAATTTTTAGCTGGGGTGCCCAAACTTTCGATCGTGTGTGTGTGTGTGTGTGTGTCTGTAAATATTTCTACTGCACCCTTTTGACCTTTTAGTAATAAATCTTACTTTCTAAAAGTGTTGAACTGTTTCTCATGAATGTAACTTACGAGTCCCTGCCGCTGAAGAACGCTACTATGAGTATTTAACCCTCTGTATAACCGGTCTGTAGAGATAGCGGGATACTGACGGTTAACCAATTAGTGTAGTGCCGAGTTTCCTCTTTGTATAAAAAGGAGGTGGTGGCAGTGTGAAGGGTTAATTGCGGAATTAACCTGACCCAGTAACCATCGCATTCAGGCTGCCGGTACGTCGATCGTTGTCCAATTAGCGGGAACATCGGTGTGCAGGGTGCAGCTGGGTGTGGCATTGTTATGCATGTGACAGCACAGTTTTAGATTGGTTAGTCCTTCGGTCACGAGTTTGGTGAGAAGGGCTGGGGTCTGACGCTGTGCCCATGACAGCTGGGATAATGGATACTGAGGCAATTTTGGCAGAGGAATTCCTGGCTTTACCTCTACATTGACTGGAGGCACATTCAACACCCCCACATCCTCTCTTGGAGGCAGCCCAGAGTGTCTCTGGCAATTCTTAAAGCACTGGGGGATGTCCTAGGTGTGATGCTGCTGCGACTAGCATATGCAGACTGTCACACACCTTGTTCTATTTCAGTCAATGGTGAGGCTGCAAAGACTCCCTCTGGTGTATAAGTTATGGTACATTGCAGTTTTGACAAAATATCTCTTCCCAGCAGGTTACAAGGCCCTGTATCAGACAACAGAAAGGTGGATTGTAAGGAAACCTCTCCTAATTTTATTTGGAGGGGAGGAGTTTCCTTTAACATTACTGTAGAACCATTCAATCCTACAACTGGCACACTATGCCCTGTGGGCAGAGGGGGAGCAGTTTGTGTTAATATAACACTTTTATTGGCCCCCCGAGTCCACAAAGAAAGGGAGTTCCTTTTCCTCAAAGAATGGCATCATTTTCAATGTCAACCCTACAAATGCAACCATCTGTTTCTGATATTACTGGCAAGACTGGGCTTAGTCAATTTCTTTTGACTCATGGCTTTCTGGCTTGTTTCCTTGGTCCCCAACAATCTCGGGCCATGTGACCAATTTTACCACAGTTGAAACAAGTCAGATTGGGAAACCGTTTTCTTTCCCCCCCTTGCGCAGGTCCATTTGGAACCTAACTGGTCAGCATCACACGCTGAGGCCTTTTCCCTTCCATATCATCCATATTCTTTTGTATATTGGATGCTACAGTGGTCAAAGCTTGTAAGCTCATGGTCGTCCATTCTGGATAGCGTATAGTCAGCTTGTCTGATGGATTGGCGCAAACCTGTACCCCACATGGTAACAAGCATAGGCGCCAAGGCAGTAGAGTCTGCATCAGGGGCAGACTGACAACTCATGGGGCCCCTGGGCAATAGGGGATCATGGGGCCCCTGTGTCCTTGCCCAAACTCAAAAAAGCCTATGAAAAAGGTACCAGGGGCATCTCATGAGGCCCCCTACTGACCCCAGGCCCTCGGGCAGTGCCCAAGTTTCCAAATGGTCAGTCCACCCCTGGTCTGCATCTTGCCCTGTCTCTGTGACAGCTATTTTAAATCTGTCAGGGTATTCATGTACCTCCTCTTTACTCCCCTGTGTCATTGTACTCCACCTTGGTCCAGGAAGCTGCAGGGAATATCTTACCTATTTCTGCCTTCAATTTAGTGAACTGAGTTATTGCGGTCTCAGAGGAATCCTCTGGGGTTGTCAGTGTTTTACCGAAATCCTCTGGCTTCTACAACCCTGCTTCTAGGATCATTAACTCATAATCACTAATCCCAACTACTCCCTTAATAATCCAACACATGTCTGTCCAATTTACTGCATAGCTTGTTGCTATATATTACATATTTGTTGGGCAAACAAGTGAGGACTGTGTCTTGGTTTCTGAATGGTATTTAAGAAGGTATTCATCTCTCCTGGAGTCCAGGGGACATGATGAGTTATTACTCCTGTTAATTTACCAGCTTGGTCAAATGCTCTTTGTTCCCTTACTGGGTTTTATTTTATCTACTGCCCTTCTTTCTTTCCTCGTATTGTAATAGGGCCCCCTACTTACCTCCTGTGTGGTATCTGGAGCGTCCTCTTTTTCCCAATCTTCATCAGGTGGCAGAGGGGGATATAAAGGGATATCATATGGACTCTGTCCTCCTGAAGAAGTACTATATCCACTTGCTTTCCTTAATGTTCCCATACTAGATCCTTCTTTTTCCCCCCCCATTCCCTCTTTCCAGGGGCTTCACTTAGGTGCAGAGACAGCTGCTGCATATGGGGGTGGGTGACTACTAGGTGCAGAGGCAGCTGCTGCATATGGGGGTGGGTGACTACTACTAGTGACCTCACTACTGCCTGGAGACACTCCCTCTATTACTGGCCTACTAGGGTCCCATATGAGTGTTTTTGCTAGTAAGTGGGTACTCATTATTTCCTCTGATATGTCACCCTCTTCTTCTCTTTTGGCACCACTGCCAGAGTTTTGCTGACTTATTGGAAGATTCACTATTCCATCTTGCCCAAGCTGCCATTTCATTTGGGGCTCTCATTTTACTTTTAAAATTATGATGTAAGGCTGTCCAAGCAGGAATATCATATGTTCCTTGGATTGGTATGGGGTAGTCTGTGATCTGTGTCAGTTTGCACCATTTCTTTAAAAACTTTGTTACCCACTTGCCATAAAGATTTCTTAACTCTTGGCAAGGAGTCAAAGGGGGTTTCTTAATTTTATCGCCTCCCCCAATTGATTTCCCATTTCTAGAAACCCTTAGGTACTTCTATATATCCCTTTTCCTCTTCAGAATTGCGTAGGCAGAAACCTGGCCAAGGCTTCTCCTTATTTTTTACACCACACTCTTCTCCTAGAAGGTGTCACTTTCCTGCCTCCAGGACAGGACACTCAATTCTCTTGCACCTTCTTTCCCACACAAAGAAGGAACGCCTTCACCCCCGGACGGTGAACTAAAAGGGCTGGTTATTCAGGTTACTTAGTTCAACCACTAAATGGTTTATGCTCCCAGAAACCCACTCCTCCCCCGCTGCTACCATTTACTTGGGGTAGTCTTATGCACCCACAATCACCCTCTCTTGTGTACTGTGACTGTCACACAGAATAGGGAGGTAAGTCTATTTTATTTCTAGACACTATTACCATTTACTTCCCTTCACCCCTTAGTGCAAACTCACTCTTTTGCTCACAAAAGGAACCTAAGATCAGACAGTGAAACCCCTTTGCCTATCTCTCCAAACTATCAACCCCAAAATGAAAAAAAAAATACAATACAGTAACATAGAAAAAAATGCATCAATTACAACCCACAATCTATCACACCTATCATGGGCTACTATGGGATAGCAACTCTGGGTCAAACTGGATGGATTCATGGACAATGCTTTGCAACTTCACATATTCTCCAGTCTCCCCATCAGTGACTTGATCAGGGTCACAGACCTGAGGTGGAGTTAATTGTTGATTATATACAAAAATTGTCAATAGAATCCAAGCAATTGCTCCCCATACAACTATTACAATTTCAAAGATATATAAGGGAGTATGAAATTTATTCAATGTATTATTCATTTAAAATTTTCACCATTAGACTTTACCTAATTTCTACTTACCTTCCCTGTTGATAAAACAAAGTTACAGACCTCTACTTATTTACTAATTTTTTAGCACATCGCAAAGTGTTATTTTCGCTTAGATTAGTACATTCCTGGCAAGCTGTCAAGGTCTCCGTATCAGCACAGCCAGTTTCCTGGCTTTCACCCAGCAATAAACTGGAATCAGCCCAACAGAAGACACTTGGCTTTGCAGTTAGCTTATTTTAACACTTAAGAAAACAAAGTTAAGAAACTAGAAAAGCTACAATTTCTGGGAAAAGAGTGTGAAGTGTTCTTCTTGCCTCCACCAGTAGTCTACAACTGGAGTGGCTTGAGCAAGGGCGGACTGACCATTTGGAAACTCGGGCACTGCCCGAGGGCCTGGAGTCAGTAGGGGGCCCCATGAGATGCCCCTGGTACCTTTTTCATAGGCTTTTTTGAGTTTGGGCAGGACACAGGGGCCCCATGATCCCCTATTGCCCGGGGGCCCCATGAGTTGTCAGTCCGCCCCTGGGCTTGAGTAACTGTTGTGTGGTTGGAGTGGAGTTTAGAAATCATGTTCTGATTTTTTAGCTCACACTCTAGTTTTGAACATTCCGCCATTCATTCCTATGGGACCAATTTCACCACAAAAACGCCGAAATTTCGTGAACCATTCGGCGAAACGTTCCACAAAGTAATAGCACACCAATCGGGAACAATCCGCACGTTTCAGTATATTACTGTCTATGTAATGTAAAAACTGTGGGAGCAGTTAGGGTGGTAAATTTGGCTATAATAAGAATATATATGTGAGTGTCAGGAATGGACTGGCCAGCAATGGTGGGACTCGCCTGCCTTATGGGCTGCAGTACCAGGGCTGGCCAGCGGGTGCTCCCAGCAATCAGAGACTCAACCTTGCAGCCAGCTAAACACCTGAAACTGCTTATACTGGTGTATTTAAGGATGGCCAGACCTGCAGACTCTGCCTTGGTTTGTGTTTTTCCTGGGCCCTGTATCCTGTTCCTGCATCCTGTTCCTGTCTTGTTGCTGACCCTGCCTGATCTGACCTCTGCTGACTTCTCCTGCTCTGACCCCGGCTCGCTCCTGACCATCCCTCTGCCTGACCCTCTGTACCACGCTGCCCGCTACCTGCTGAACCTGGCTTGTGACCCCGACCATTCTCCGCTTGCTCCCCCTGTACCTACCTGCCCGATTGATATTGACCCGGCCTGCCTGAAGACGCTTGCATTGTATGTACTGTCATCTGTGGGTGGTTGGTTGGGTTTGTTTGCACTGTGTTATGTTTTAGTATTGCACTGCGTTTATGTTTGTATTGTTAGTGTCAATAAATTATATTGTTTATAACTTATCTGAAGTCTGCGTTTCCCTGCGTCAGTCACACACCTCTGGTCATACCCGGGAGCCCTGACATTACACCAAGGCCAATCCTGACCAGAAGTGGCTGCACAGGGAAGCCATCTTGGTTTGTTGATGGGAAGGATGGATCTGGATGAGGTTGTGTATTTATATCTGCTAGTGTTTGATGACAGAGAATATGCTTATCAGACTCTGAAGAAGGAGTATCCCCGGGATCAACTGCTAGAATGTATACGGCTCGCTCATGTTCTAGTAGATCAGGGCACAGAATTCTCTGAGGTGCAGCCATTGATTCAGATTTGTGCGGAGTTGGTTTCATCTGGTACCCCTGAAAGCAGGGATGACTTTTTGCCGCAATTTAGTGCCGACCAGGTAGAGTCCCTGGTGTGGTTATTAGAGGATGATGTGGATTGCTTCTTGGAGCGTTATTCTGCATGTTCACCACAGACACTATGAGATTGTATAAACGCAGTGCAGTCTTTGGTCAGACAGGCTTTGTGTAAGCTCAGCTTTGTTCAACCCGTACTGCAGACATGGACAGATTTGTTGCACCCAGCCTCAGTCAGCTTACAAAGACCCAGTCCTGCTTCTAATCTATTTCATCAAAGCTCTACTCCTGTATTCCCAACAGCTCCTCCTGCCCTGCTATCTACCGCATGTCAGTACCCCTGTTCCCACTCGCTGCACCTATCCTGCCTTTAACCCTGTAAAAAAGCCCTCTGTAGCAACCGCTCCCTCTCCTGTTCCATCCTCCAGTTCTTCTCTGTCTCCAGCTGCTCCATTCGTTTGCAGACCTGCGTTTACTTGCAGTGCTCCAGTAGTTAAAACCAGAAAAAAGCGAAAATTCTTTCCAACCAATACCATCCTGCCAGTATCCAAACCGGTCAGCCTGCTGTCCGAGAACCTGCCTTCCGCACTTCAGCCTGATGCCTGTACCCAGCCTGATGCCTCTACTCAGCCTGACGCCTCCACTCAGCCTGATGAACTGATCCAGCCTGATGATCCTATTAGGCCAGTTGACTCGATGCCCGCTGTTGATCCAGATGATCCAGTACCTGATCCGGTGCCCAATGTCATGCCAATTGACTCAGAGCCCGCTGTCGTACCTGGTGACTCGGTGCCCACTGCCTTGCCAGATGACGCGGTGCCCGCTGGCGAGCCAAATGACCTGATGCCTGGTGACCCAGTGCCCGCTGTCGAGCCAGACGATCCAATGCCTGGTGACCCAGTGCCCGCTGTCATACCTGGTGACCCGATGCCCGCTGTCGAGCCAGACAATCCGGTACCTGATGACCCGGTGCCCGCTGTCGTGCCAATTGAGTCAGAGCCCACTGTCGTGCCTGGTGACTTGGTGCCCACTGTCTTGCCAGATGACGCGGTGCCCGCTGTTGAGCTAAATGACCTGATGCCTGGTGACCCGATGCCCGCTGTCCAGCCAGACGATCCAATGTCTGACCCAGTGCCCGCGGTCATACCAGTTGACTCGGAGCCCACTGCCTTGCCAGATGACGCGGTGCCCGCTGTCGAGCCAAGTGACCTGATGCCTGGTGACCCGATGCCCGCTGTCCAGCCAGACGATCCATTGTCTGACCCAGTGCCAGCGGTCATGCCAGTTGACTCGGAGCCCACTGTCGTGCCTGGTGACCCAATGCCTGTCGCTCTGCCTGGGGGTCAAGCGCCCGCCGCTCCGCCTGGGGGCCCGAGACCTGTCGCTCCGCCTGGGGGTCCGGCGCCCGCCGCTCCGCCTGGGGGCCCGAGACCTGTCGCTCCGCCTGGGGGTCCGGCGCCCGCCGCCCCGTCTGGGGGCCCGAGACCTGTCGCTCCGCCTGGGGGTCCGGCGCCCGCCGCTCCGCCTGGGGGCCCGAGACCTGTCGCTCCGCCTGGGGGTCCGGCGCCCGCCGCTCCGCCGCCTGGGGGCCCGAGACCTGTCGCTCCGCCTGGGGGTCCGGCGCCCGCCGCTCCGATTGGGGGCCCGAGACCTGTCGCTCCGCCTGGGGGTCCGGCGCCCGCCGCTCCGCCTGGGGGCCGAGACCTGTCGCTCCGCCTGGGGGTCCCTCCGCCTGGGGGCCCGAGACCTGTCGCTCTGCCTAGGGGTCCGGCGCCCACCGCTCCGCCTGGGGGCCCGATGCCTGTCGCTCCGCCTGGGGGTCCGGCGCCCGCCGCTCCGCCTGGGGGCCCGATGCCTGTCGCCCCGCCTGGGGCCCGATGCCTGTCGCCCCGCCCGGGGGCCTGATGCCTGTCGCCCCTCCTGGGGGCCCGGCGCCCGCCGCTCCGCCTGGGGGCCCGGCGCCTGCCGCCCCGCCTGGGGGCCCGGGGCCTGTCGCCCCGCCTGGGGGCCCGGGGCCTGCTGCTCCGCCTGGTGGCCCGCTGCCTGCTGCTTCGCCTGGTGATCCGATGTGCCTCTGCCCGGAGTCCAGCCCGATGTGCCTCTGCCCGGAGTCCTGCCCGATGTGCCGCTGCCCGGAGTCCTGCCCAATGTGCCGCTGCCCGGAGTCCTGCCCAATGTGCCGCTGCCCGGAGTCCTGCCCAATGTGCCGCTGCCCGGAGTCCTGCCCAATGTGCCGCTGCCCGGAGTCCTGCCCAATGTGCCGCTGCCCGGAGTCCTGCCCAATG